GGGGGGGGGGGAATTATGGAGAAGAAGCACTTGTGTATTTTTCGTAGCAGAAGTATTTACCGGTTTCTTAAGAGAAATGTATTCATCTAGTAGAAACAATTCGAGGATTTCAATTGATTTTTTCCGAAAAATTAGATGGTCCTTCTATGAATTTACCAACAATGCGAAAGGTTGCCCTGGTCGAGAATCTCAGGATTTATGCTTATTTTGAACTATGCATGTGGAAGGAAGTTATTTATTTTAGTAAAAATAAGTGATGTATAGTTGATAATCGCATATGTGATAATCAAACACAATATGGACCATAAAGAGTTATTAAAATGATAAACAGATTCCTCTAATTAAATAAGGATTCCTCTAGAAATGACATCTTCAACTTTGTTGCTTAGAGAGTGTTCCAAGATTAATACTCCTACTAATTAACTAATTAAGTACATTTCACGATGCCCCTTGACTTGAAATCATGTTGCTAAGTGCTAATTAGTTTACATGTTTATTTTTCCATATAATTACTTCTTCTGTGGATCAGATAGATAAATTATTAATTTGCAACTTGTTTACATGTATATATTAATTATTCCCTCAAACTCCATATATATTTATATGTATTTTAAGTCTTTAAACTTACTTTTCACTATATATTAATGTAGTGTCACGAGCTTCACGCATCTATTTAATTTTTCTTTTCTTGTCTTTTGTCCCCTTTTTGGCTTTAATATTTTAAGCCTAAAGGTGGGTTGGAAAAATATATGAAGGCTTTAAACAGGTTGAAAATGTTTTCCTAAATACCATATTTGCTCATTCTCTTTGCGAGATTTAATACAAAAAAATTTAATTAGTATGACAAGCTTTTTGAATTTTTACAGTAAGAAAATAGTGAAGAAACTCTTTTTACAAAAATAAGAAATAGTATTGGTTTTCAAGTGTAGAATTTAGAGAAGAAAGAAAGCTTTTGGAATAGAAAATAATACTAGAAAACAAAAATCCTATAAAATGAACATTAATGGGAGGGTGTTTGGGTAAGTTTATAAGGTGGCCAATTATTGGTTTATCTACGTGTTTGATAAACGCCAAATATACTTATAAGTTAAAATCAGTAAAAAAAAAAAAAAAAAGTTGGTTTGACCGAACTTTCTACCATTTTATTCCTAATTTTTTATTTTTGTAATTCTTGAAAAACTCTTCTCCCAAACAAGATTCCTAACTCCTCCATTTCATTTCCGCCATTCGTCCTTTTTCATGTAAAAACTCTTTTTAATTTATAACTTTTATAAACAGTGTGCCTTTTTTGCCACGTCTAGTGTCTTTCTATTTGTAAATTATTTTCCAAAATCACAAGAATCATGGAGAAGATGATGGTAGGCTATAATCTCGTGTTTTAGTCGCATATTGCACTCTAATTTATTGTACTTTATTTGTGTTTGAGCTTTAATTGGTATTGTTTTGTACTTAGTGTGTGTTTTATGCCTTGTAGGAGCGATTCCGAGTTATGTAGATGTTGTGGAGCTAATCGAGCTATTTGGAGCTTTGAAATCTGAGTAAAAGCTCAAGGGATTAAGCCGGGATCGTGTTCGGGGATCAATGGACGAATAGTGCACTTAGTAGAAGGAAAAAGAGTTTAGCAGGAAGAAAATCCAGGTGCGCGACTGCGCATGAGAAACCCCCAGCGCGCACTTGGGCGCACAAGTGATGCAGTGTACTGCCAGAGATGTGCGGCCATGTGCGCGTTCAAACTGCCAGGTGCGTGGCCGCGTACGTCCGCTTCTGGGACCTTTACCCAGGCTTATTTTGTAAATTTGGAGGTGACTCTTTTTGACCTATATGAAGCCTAGCTCGTCTTAGAACAAGGTATCTTGGATTTTGGGAGCAACTTTTGGAGAGAAGAAGGCAAGGAAACAACGGAGACTCTAAATACTTCATCTAATTTATTCAACACGGCAGTTTGGTTGATTTTTTGAATTGTAATGTCTTCTTGTTCTTCTAATACTCTTGTGATAAACAGTTTCTCCAATATGGAGTAATCTTTCTTAGGGTTATTGACAGATATTGTAATTTGACTATTGTTTGGAGTTTACTCTATGTTAGTTGCCTGAATTCGTTGAATGAGTTATTAATTGAATGGCAAGGTCAATTGTGGTTTTACTTTAATCGAAAGAGAAGTGTTGTTACAATTCGCATTGTGTTATCTTGTTTGGGTTGATTTTATGCCTCTCATAGGTAATCGAAAGAGCTTAGAGAGTTATGGATTGATCCAATGTGGAAGAATAGTCGAGATACATTTTTCGAAAGATCATTAATTCACTGTATTTTTGCATGTGTTCATATGACATGTCATTAGGATGGTTAACGGAACTCTCATTCATTCGGAAGAAGAATTTGAATCCTCAAGATAGCCTAATCATTTGTTGAAATCGAAAGAATCAATAGAAGTTAAGAGTGAACTTAGCACAGTGTTACCCAGAATAATAGTTGATCAAATATCTTGTCGCAACCCTTACTTCGCACCTTGATATTCAATCGTTGCTACTTAGTCACTAAATTTCCATTACTTTCTCACAATCGATAATCTTAGTTTTTATTATTAGTCGGTAATAACTAAAATCAAAGGTTTATTTCCTGGATAGTATTAACCTGAAGATTTATTAGAACATTATTTAACCCAGTCCCTGTGGAGATGATTTAATACTATACTATCTTTGATTAGCGAGCCTAAGTGTTATACATCGGTTTTAAGCTCGTCAAATGTTGGCGCCGTTGCCGGGGATAGGCGATTAATATTGTTTGAAATAATTTTCGGTGCTAATTTAGGAACAATTTTAATTTATTTTATTTTCCTTTTTACGCTCTTCTTATCTGTGTGCAGGCAACAGGTTAAGTTCAGTGGTGTATGACTCGATCCTCTTCTAAGGAATTGATGCCATACGATCCAGAATTAGACAAGAACATGCGGTAGTTGAGAAGGGAGAAAGAATCGAGCACATCGTTGTTGGGTCAGACTTCGACTCAAATTACAATGGTGAACAACGAAAATGATGTGAATCTAGCTGCGAGAGAGGCACCTCAACAACAGGATGCATGGTTAGGAGTTGAAGCAGCCCGTAGTGTTGCGGATGAAACAGTCGACGAAGATCGAAGGTTCAATCTCAACTGAACCATGATCGAAGATGAATTTGAAAATGCAGCTCTCGAGTCTCGGAGGTCTCTAGGAGATTATGCCACACCGGTGTACAACCAACAACAATCTAGTGTGAGGCCCCCACCCATTGATGCCAACAATTTTGAACTAAAGCAGGGAGTCATCCAGACTATTCAGAACAACTGCATTTTCAGAGGCAAACCCAATGAATATCCCAACAATCATCTGATGGACTTCGACAAAATTATGAATATATTCCACTACAATGAAGCATCACATGATGCAATCTATCTCAGAGCATTCCTTTTCTCACTTAAGGATGATGCAAATGAGTGGTTGAGAAGTCTACCCACAGGGTCAATCCGCACGTGGGAGGAGATGACTACCAAGTTCTTAAAAAAATATTTCTCTACTGCTAAGTCTGGACTGATGAGGAAGGAGATTTACAATTTCAGCCAAGGTGAAGGGGAGATAGTGTTCGAGGCATGGGAAGGATTTAAGGAGCTATTGCGGAGGTGCCCTCATAACAGAATGGAGCAATGGATGCAACTCCAAAATTTCTGGGACGGGTTAAACCTGTCTTCAAGGAGATTGTTGAATAGTGCGGTTGCAGGTCCTCAGATGAAGAAAACTCTAGAAGAGATTGTCACACTTCTGAATGAACTATCTGAAGACGCAGAACAATGGTGCACTGACCAAGGGGATTGAAAAAGATAATCGGGGATGCACCAAGTAGAATCGTCTGTAGCAATGCATGCCCAAATTGCAGCTATGGCTACGGACATCAAGCAACTGACGATAGCTCAGGTGAAGAATCAACCACATGTGAGATGTGACATCCGTGGATTGGGACACCCAACTCATGAGTGCCAAACCTTCACCACAGAAGATGAAGTTAAGGCTTTGGGGAATTTCAACATAGGCAACTACCAAGGAGGTGGAAATTTTAATTCTATGGGACAGAGACATATGGGGTTCTCATGGAGTTCTTCAAATGGTAGCTTGAACTCATGGCAGCAACAAAATCCCAGAGCACCAGTGCAAGGACTTCATGGCTTCCAGAACCAACAGAGGCAACCATACCAGCCTCCACAGCCCAACAACTCAAGTTTAGAAGATCTAATGAAGGCATTCATAAATAAATCAGATGAAAAACTTGAGACTCAAGGGACCGCTATATGGGAGCAAGGCATAGCCATCCAGAATCTAGAAAGACAAATGGGGTAGCTCGCATCATTGTTATCAGAAATGGCTCTGGGGACTTTGCCGGCAAACACTGAGAAAAATTCAAAAGAGACGATCAAGGTCGTATCTCTCAAGAGTGGGAAAAAATTAGCTGAGCCCATTGCGAAACCAAGGGATGAGAAGGAGATCAACTCAACTAAGATAGCAGAAGAATATAAAATTGGTGAATCTTTGCCTAAGGAGGATATTAGCAGCAAGGAGGTTGATAAGCAGAAATTAAGCAGCACAATTGAGGAAAGCAAGCACATGCCAGTGTTACCCTTTCCTCAAAAGATGAAGCGGGAGAAACTAGACAAATGCTTTGGGAAATTCTTGGAGATGCTAAAATAGCTGTATATGAACATCCCGTTCACCGAGGTGCTCACCTAGATGTTAGCCTATGCAAAATTCCTGAAGGAAATCCTTTCAAGTAAAAGAAAACTCGAGGAAACGAAAGTGGTCAAACTCAATGCCCACTGCAGTGCCATTCTACAAAATAAAATTTCTCAAAAGTGTGGGAATCCTGGTAGTTTCACTATACCATGCTCATTAGAGAGCAAATATTTTGACAAGGTCTTGTGCGATTCAGGTGCATCCATTAACTTGATGCCATTATCGGTGTTCAAGAAATTGGAGGGAGAACTAGGAGTGATCAAATCTGTGTCGGTATCATTGCAACTAGCTGGTCAGACCACGATCATACCGGAGGTCATAAGTGAGGACATTCCGGTGAGGGTGGACAAATTTGTCTTCCCAGTAGACTTCATCGTAGTAGACATGGAAGTGAATAAGGAGGTACCTCTAATACTGGGGAGACCATTCCTTTGCACTGGTCGGGTTCTTAATATATATGAGGGGCAACTCATGCTACGAGTGGAAAATAAAAAAGTGGTATTTCAAATGAAGAGAATGATGAAATACCCGTATAATGAGGCATTTGCCTATGCTTGTCTCAAACTGGATGTTGTGGGAGAGTTAGCTGAACAACACGAGCTGGATAAGCTGGTAGGTGATTCATTAGAGAGATGTATTAGTCAATCAAGCACAACAGAGGATGAAGATCCTGAGATCAGGAAGAAAGTTAAGGCATTGGAAGATGAGAACCAGGTGGTAGATGAGAAGAATTCGAGAAAGAAAAGATCAAGCCGAAGCTGGAATTAAAAGTACTCCCGACATATTTGAAATATGCTTTTTTGGAGACTAACAATTTTTCTGTGATTGTTGGTACTGATTTGATAGGTGAACCGGAACACATACTTGTGGAGTTAATAAGGAAGCATAAAAAGGCAATCGGTTGGAGTATAGCCGATATTCAGGGGATCAACCCTGCAATATGTATGAACAAAATCCTGTTGGTAGAAGGGAGCAGACCGGTGGTGCAGCCCCAGTGCAAATTGAACAAAAACCTTGAGGAGGTGGTGCAGAAAGAGATACTCAAATTGCTGGATGCATGTATAATATTTTCCATCTTTGACAGCCAATGGATCAGCCCCGTACAAGTTGTACCGAAAAAAGGGGGGCATGACTGTAGTGAAAAATGAGGACAACGAGCTAATTCCTACCAGAACAGTTACTGGTTGGAGGATGTGCATAGACTACCGAAGGCTAAATGATGCAACAAGGAAGGATCACTTCCTTCTTCCTTTCATTGATCAGATGTTGAAGAAGGTGGAAGGGCATGGATGTTACTGCTTCCTAGATGGATATTCAGGTACAATCAAATACCCATTGCTCCCGAAGATGTTGAGAAAATCACATTTACCCGCCCTTCCAAAATATTTGCATACCGGAGAATGCCTTTCGGATTATGCAATGCACCGGCTACATTTCAGAGATGCATGATTTCAATCTTTTCAGATTTAAATGGGAAGTGTCTGGAGGTGTTCATGGATGACTTTACTCTATTTGGAGATGACTTCAAGGATTGCTTGAGGAATCTCGATATTGTTCTGAAATGATATAAGGACACTCACCTAGTACTCAACTGGAAAAAAGTGTCACTTCATGGTTAAGAAGGGGATAGTCTTGGGCCATAAAGTCACAGCTGACGGTATTACCACCGACGTCAGTGAAAAGCATCAGAAGTATTTTGGGGCATGCATGGTTTTATAGAAGGTTCATCAAGAATTTCTCCAGCATTACCAAGCCCTTAACAATATTACTTGCCAAGGATGTGAAATTTGTGTTCGATGCAGAGTGCCTCAGAGAATTCGAACTGATCAAGGAAAAGCTAGTGAGTGCTCCCATAATGGTGACTCCTGACTTGAGTGAACCCTTTGAGATCATGTGTGATGCCAGTGATGTGGAAGTGGGAGCAGTGTTGGGGCAGAGGAGAGATAAACAGTTCAGACCCATTTACTATGCAAACTGGACCTTGAATGATGCTCAGGTGAACTATGCTACCATGGAGAAGGAGTTCTTTTCAGTGGTCTTTGCTTTTGAAAAGTTCAGATCCTATTTAGTGGGAAGCAAGGTAATAGTGCATACTGATCACTTAACACTGAAGTATTTGCTGAGTAAGAAAGAATCCAAACCGCGTCTGATGCAGCGGGTATTGTTGCTGCAAAAATTTGATCTAGAAATCAAAGACAGGAAGGGAACAGAAAATAAAGTGGCTGACCACCTGTCGCGATTGGAGAAACCACTTGTTGAAGCGGTGGACATTCGAGAAGAGTTCCCAGATGAGCAGATTTTTTCCATTGCAGCGGTCTCTGATAGACCTCCATGGTTCGCTGACATAGCCAATGTTTTGGCTAGTGGATGGATACCACATGACTTGACCTCCGACCAGAAAAGGAAGTTGCAAAGCGAGGTAAAAAGTTACTTCTGGAATGATACCTTTTGTTTAAATTATTTGCATATGGTCTAATTCAAAGATGCATACCAGAAGGCGAAATGGTAAGTATATTGTCTCATTGTCATGATGGAGCAGCTGGAGGGCACTATGGAGGAAATAGGACATCAACGAAGGTCTTGGAGACCGATTTCTACTGGCCATCTCTGTACAAGGATGCAAGATCTTATGTGGTTGCATGTGACAAGTGCCAACGGACAGGTAACATATGTAAAAAGGATGAGATGCCCCTGAATTTCATTTTGGTGTGCGAAATCTTCGATGTCTAGAGCATCGACTTCATGGGCCCCTTCCCATCATTCCATTCTTATGAGTACATCTTAGTGGTCGTAGACTATGTCTCCAAGTGGGTCGAGTCAATCCCCCCTAGGACCAATGATGCTCGGGTAGTATGTGAATTTCTTCGAAAGAATATTTTCACCCGCTTTTGAACTCCCCGAGTCATCATCAGTGACAATGGGTCATATTTCATAAATAAGCAGATTGCCACTATGTTGTCTAAATATGGGGTAACTCATAAATCGGGAACCTTATATCATGCTCAAACTAGTGGGCAAGTAGAAGTAGCTAACCGTGAACTCAAAAGAATTCTAGAAAAAACGGTTAGTGCTTCCAGAAAAAATTGGTCAATAAAGTTGGATGAAGCTCTATGGGCATATAGAACAACGTTCAAAACAACTATAGGGACTTCACCCTTCAAGTTGGTGTATGGAAAGTCATGTCACTTACTTGTGGAGATTGAGCATAAGGCTTATTGAGCATTTAAATTGCTTAATCTTGATCTTATTCTTGCAGGTGAATACAGAAGATCACAGGTGAATGAGCTGGAAAAGTTCAGATTGGACGCGTATGAGAATGCGCAAATTTTCAAGAAAAAGACGAAGAAATGGCATGACCGTCTGATTAAACCGAAAGAATATCATGAAGGGAAAAATGTCTTACTGTACAATATAAGACTCAGATTATTCCCCAAAAAGTTTAAGTCTAGATGGACGGTACCATATGTGGTGAAACATGTACCACCATATGGGGCGATTGAGATCTAGAACATGGACGGAACGGAGAGTTTCAAAGTGAATGGGCACATGCTAAAACCATATCTTGCTGGAGGATTTGCTCAGAAATCCTCGAGCATCATAATCAGTTGAAGATGCCTGGTTGAGTTAAGCTGACGACTATAACTCAGAATTATCTCTAACTCCTCTACTAGTTTAATTTTCCCCCTTTGTTTCTTTCTTTTTGTTGTAGCATAGAGTAAGTAGAAATTAGTGTATATTATGACTTGGTAGATGCAGGAAGGTATATGTGGCGGAAGGTCAGAACTGAGGTTTTCAAAAGGCTCCTTGTGAGTGTACCCGTGCGCGTCGCGCACCTGGTAGGGTACCTCGCGCATGTAGTCACGCAAATGACGTTATCAGACTACGTTGGGACGTGTGTGGCTGCGCATGCGACCGTGCATATGCACCAGTATACAGTCATATGTGCGCGGCTGCACACGGTATAACCTGACTACGCACAGGTAAGTACCTCTTTCTTTTAATTTCGGACTCCTCCCTCAACCCTCCTTCTAATTATTCCCCTTTCCCTCTCCTCTTCACAAAACAAAAATCTGCCCTCCCCTCATATACTCTCTGCGCAAACAAGAAGGACACCCACCCACTCCCCTAATCTTCTCCCCTATCCCTTCCTTACGAGCACTCCTTCCCAGAGACCCCTCAAGTATGTGAGATGTTTTTTCCTTGTTTATTTGTAGCAATTTTTTGTTCTCCTTTTCTTGTGGGGTGGAGGTTGAGTTTCACCATGGACACTAAAAACATAGTTTCTAGCCAGTGAAATTGGTATGTATGTCGTCCATCTAGGGCTAAAATTTCCTTTGTGTGGGGTTAGGAACAGTTGCGCATGTTAAGTGTTTGTGTCAATGACACAATGAGGTTAAGAGTGTAATTTTGTGACCAAGAGTGAGGGTGAAGTCTGAGTAGCCTTTCTTGGTCCCCCCCCCCCCCCCGAGTGATTTATTTGCTGATATTTGGTGGGTTATTTCAGGTGTAATGGCTCCCTCCAAGAAAAGAAAAACTGCAAGTGCCTCTACCGGTGGTCAAGCGAGTACATCCAGGTCGCGAGCTTCTGCATCCGCTTGTCCATATGATCAAAATACGTTTGTCTCATGGGATGCCCAACAATGATTTAATAGCAAAGCAGGCAAAAAACTCATACCGGAAAGGGGAATCGATAATGGGTCACTACAAAATGACTTTCCCAAAGTGTATGTGGAATTGGTCGGGCGATGAATGGGGGTGTTCTTCGAAGAACCTGACGAGGCAAATTTAATAGTTGTTCGGGAGTTCTACGCGAACTGTCCGGAACATGAGGACCATATTTGTATAGTCCAGAAGAAGAAAGTGGATTTCTCCAAAGAGGCCATCCAAAGGGCCTATCACTTGCCGGAGTACGTGGAAGAACCTGATGCAGATAACTACTATTTGGCGTACAATAGGGAGCCATATCCATGGCTCACATTATTTGCGAACATTTGTATGCCCGGGAAGGAGGTGGTGTGGTTGATCTACGGCCAAAAATTTCACTTTGCTTCACTCATTTTTGAGGGAAATGCTGGCATTACATAATTAATAACTGCCTCACGCCTTCAGGCAACACTACTGAGGTGAATAGTCCTTGGGCTGCTATGATTTGGTGCTTTGTCATAAGCCATAACTTTTATGTGACTAAAGTCATTCAGGATGAGATGACAATTCGTTGTCCAGTGCAGAGATATGGGTTCTTTTTCCCGTCACTAGTCATTCAGTTATGCCGTGAGGCACGGGTACCGAAAAATAGGGCCACGGATGGGAAAGTCAAGCGCGAAAAAATTTTTGGGCTAATAAAGTTATAATTAGGAAGGAACCTGCTGGGGCTGTTGAGGCTGATAGTGAGGCCGTGAGGCACGGGTAACGAAAAACAGGGCCACGGATGAGAAAGTCAAGCGCAAATAAAAATTTCAGGCTGATAGAGTTGTAATTGGGAAGGAACCTGATGGGGCTGTTGAGGCGGATAGTGAGGAGTCTGATGCGCCCGACGAGGTAAGGGAGGTGCACAGCGGATGGGAAACGAGAATGGTCACTTTAGAACAGGAGATGACGGGGATGCGTACTTTTGTCACTGATTTGGGAGCTCAGGTAGACTCCCTTTCTACATAGAATGCCAAGTCCGAGAAGAAGATCACGACATGGCTGCGGCACTTGGTCGGGCTTGTCATCTGGACCCTGGCACCATCTCCAACACGGAGTGACTCGATCAGGGGAGTTTTCTTCAACTTTGCATTTCAATTGTGTGTCATGGGAACATACCACATCTTAAAGTGTAGGGTGGGGGATATTTATATGTATGTATATCAGTTTTCTTTTTGTTAGTTATAGTTAGTAGAGATTGGAATTTTCGATTTTTCCCGACTATGGATATCATCGACAGCTTTCTTGAGGGATTAAAGTCGAAAGAAAAAAAAAACAAAAAACATTTTGTTTGTAGTTAGTGTAATAATTCTCCCTTGGTTTTTCTTTGTGCCGGGGTTCTTTTCCAAGGGTTTTGTTTAAATCGGGTGTAGTTAGTTTTATTTTGTATTGTGATTTGAATTGAAGACAATATCTCTTAAATTTATTATGCCTTGAGAATAGTAAGTGCTTTAGTTGTGATGCTTAGGCTCGGTGTTTTACTCTTGTATAAGTACCTTAAATTGTATGATCTTAACTTTGCTTAACTATTGTGACTAAAATGTCTTGATAGTCCAATCCTGAATGAGTTATGTGACATATATGTGAGGTTTTGTGTATTATGTACATTGCATTTGATGTCTAGAACTTGCCCCATGTGTGTGCAAAGTGAAATAGTAGTTTTATTCAGTCTTGGAAGTGATATAGGTATTTCTTTATTGAGCCAGTTATATTCTTTTACCCACCTAGTTGTTATGTATCTTAGTCAACCCCGTTGAGCATGTAATCCTGTTTCTTTGGCAACCACATTACAAGCTTCACCCATTTGTTTGAATTGACCATCTGTTTGAACCTTGTACCTCTCGCGAGCACTGGAACTTGTTATGAACTTTGTAAAAGTTGAAGTATGGAGTAGTTGGTTTGGCTTTTGAGTGGAACTATTGAACAAAGGAGACATGTGCACTATTTTGAAAAAGTAAGAGCCATTTGAATTAAAAAAGAAAGGAAAAAAATAAGTGTTTGATTGTGAAAAATGGTCCATGATAGTGGTAACTTGATGTAATTATGCTTAAAGAAGTAGGGAGTTAATGTATATTGATGTGAAGGTGGAGTTATGGTTTGACATAAGTGTGGGGTTTTTAATGATTAAGTGTATGTATTAAAGTGCTTAGCGAGGTGTAGTCACTCTTATATCCAAATATATCTTACCCATCCCGCAACCTACCTTACAACCAATTAAAGTCCTACTTAATCCTTACCTGAATGAGCTCAATTAGTAGAGTATTATACTACAGGCAATATTATGGTATGTTTTTTGTGGCATATTAATGTTGTTTCTGATAGTGAGTGAATTCTTTCTATCTTGAGTTCCTAATTATTCTTAAATTTTATTTTGTGTGGAACTATTCTCTATTGTTGTGTGAGGGCACTTGATTTACGAAGGAAAGGTAATGTCGTTAACCTCTATGTTAGAGTAAGTGGGCGGGTTATAGGAATGCATGGTGCTTTTAAGTCAAATCTTGAGGCGAGGATGTTACAGTATTGTGCTTAATCTATTTTAAATATTCTTTAGGTGATGAGTTATGAGAGTTGTTGAAAAAGGTCATGTCTATATGAAGTGTAGTTTGATTGCTTGAGGGCGAGCAATGGTTTAAGCGTGGGGTGTTGATGGTAGGCTATAATCTTGTATTTTAGTCGCTTATTTCACTCTAATTCACTGCACTTTATTTGTGTTTGAGCTTTAATTGGTATTATTTTACACTTAGTGTGTGTTTTATGCCTTGTAGGAACAATTCCGAGTTATGTAGATATTGTGGAGCTAATCGAGCTATTTGGAGCTTTGAAGTCTGAGTAAAAGCCCAAGGAATTAAGCCAGGATCGTGTTCGGGGATCAATGGACGAATAATGCACTTAGTGGAAGGAAAAAGAGTTGAGCAGGAGGACAACCCAGGTGTGCGACCGCGCATTAGAAACCCCCAGCGCGCACTTGGGCACGCAAGTGATGCAGTGTACTGCCAGAGGTGCGCAGCCATGTGCGTGTTCACATTTCCAGGTGCGCGGCCATGTGCGTGTTCACACTTCCAGGTGCGCGGCCGCGCACGTCCGCTTCTGGGACCCTTACCCAGGCCTATTTTTGTAAATTCGGAGACGACTCTTTTTTACCTATATGAAGCCTAGCTCGTCTCAGAACAAGGTATCTTGGATTTTGGGAGCAACATTTGGAGAGAAGAAGGTAAGGAAACAACAGAGACTCTAAATACTTCATCCAATTCATTCAACATGGCAGTTTGGTTGATTTTGGTAATTGTAATGTCTTCTTGTTCTTCTAATACTCTTGTGATAAACAACTTCTCCATAATGGAGTAATCTTTCTGAGGGTTATTGACAGATATTGTGATTTGACTATTGTTTGGGGTTTACTCTATGTTAGTTGCCTGAATTCATTGAATGAGTTATTGATTGAATGGCAAGACCAATTGTGGTTTTACTTTAATCGAAAGAGAAGTGTTGCTACAATTCGCATTGTGCTATCTTGTTTGGGTTGATTTTACGCCTCTCATAGGTAATCGAAAGAGTTTAGAGAATTATGAATTGACCCAATGTGGAAGAATAGTCGAGAGACATTCTTCGAAAGATCATTCATTCATTGTATTTTTGCATGTGTTCATAGGACCGTCATTAGGTTGGTTAACGGAACTCTCATTCATTCGGAAGAAGAATTTGAATCCTCAAGATAGCATAATCATCTGTTGAAATCGAACGAGTCAATAGATGTTAAGAGTGAACTTAGCACGGTGTTACCTAGAATAATAGTTGATCACATATCTTGTCACAGCCCTTACTTCGCACCTTGATATTCCATCGTTGCTACTTAGTCACTAAATTTCCATTACTTTCTCACAATCGATAATCTTACTTTTTATTATTAGTCGGTAATAACTAAAATAAAAGGTGTATTTCCTGGATAGTGTTAAGCTGAAGATTTATTAGAACATTATTTAATTTAATCCCTGTGAAGACGATTTAATACTATACTAACTTTGACTAGCTAGCCTAAATTTTATACATCGAATTTGCGTTCGCCAAAAGACTGAAGAGCACTTGCATATGCATGTGTAGAGCTAGCGGAAAGAAGTTATTTAGTAAAACTAAGTGATTTATAGTTAATAATTGCACATATGACAATCAAACACGATATGGACCATTAGAGTCATTAATTGCAATATTGACATACGAATACTCCTAATTAATTGATGATATTACTAGTTGCTTTAAAGGCGTTCGAGTTTGTTGCTTAAAGGGCATTAATTCCGAGATTAATACCCCTACTAATTAACTAATTAAGTACATTTCACGATACCCCTTGACGAAATCATGTTGCTAAGTGCTAGTTAGTTCCAATTTAATAACCAGAAGTCGTGAGGTGATATATAAATAATAATCTCGGCTTACTCGTAGTTCAAATATTGTTTGTTGGTACCGCTTTTTTTTTTTTTTTTTTTTCCTTTTTTCTTTGACCTGAGTGTCGGAAATAGTCTCCTTATCTTTTCAAGATAGGGATAATGTACAAAGTACAAACTATCCTTCTCATGCCTCACTTATGAAATTATACTGAATTCGTTATTGTTATTGTTCTCGTATTTCAAATAGTATATTTTCATTTGGTTCACAAGCCTTCTTCTTTCTTTTTGGAGTTCACATGCCTTTTATTTATTATTCAAATTCATCAGCCAAATTCAGATATATAAATAAAGTCTGCAAAATAAACTTCAATTTAAAGGGTGTTTGAGTAAACTTATAAATTGGTTAATATTTGGTTTATCAACGTGTTTGATAAACACCAAATATGCTTATAAACAGAAATTATTATAAGCCAAAATTATCTATAATGCATAAGTTGGTCACTCCTAACTTATAACTTTTCAATTGATACACTTTAGATTTGACCAAGTTTTTTTTACTTATTTTATCCCTAATTTTTTTTTTTTTTTTTTTTTTTTTTTTTTTTTTTTTTTGGGTCATTCTGAAATACTCTTCGCCAAACAAAACTCATAAGTCCCCCTCTATTCAATTTCCGTCATTTGTCCTTTTCATGCATAAATTCTTTTGAAGTAATAACTTTTGTAAACGAATTTTATGGGCATGCTAGTCATTTCAGCATAAAAATTGCCTATTAGTAATTTCTTTTTACCGCCCTTCCAGGGTAGGGATAAGACTGCGTATATCCTACCCTCCCCAGACCCCACCTGTGAGATTACACGGAATTGTTGTTGTTGTAGTAGTAATATCTTTTTACCAAACACAAACTATTTATTATCACTTTTAACACTTTCATCAAAAACACCTAACTATTTATTTATGTAATTAATTTTAGCATTTAAATATGATTTTAAGCACTTGATATTTATCAGCTATTTTTAATCAGTTAACTCAAGCGGGAAGAAACAACCAAGGTTAAACAAATTCAAACAAACGGCCTTTTTAGTTAGGTCAAAAAAAGGCAACCAGTGCACAAGGCATTCCGCATTCACGCAGAGTCCGTGAAAAGGCCGCACCCCAAGTGGTGTAATATAGACAACTTATCTTAATACAAGCATTAGTGTCTGCTTCCACGTCTCGAACCCGTGACCTATAAGTCACACGGAGACAACTTTACCGTTGGTTCAAGGCTCCCCTTCCCTTGTTTGGTTAGGTCGAGATCATAAAATCACAACCAGAAGGGCGTAAACTGAATAAATGGCACAAGCAGGAAAATGAAACAGCTGTGAACAGATAGACTTCAAATTAAATTGCTCAAGATAAGCATCATATCGAAATCATTTTGAACTGTATGTAGACAAGAAAATGATTCTAGAGTTAAGTTTGCTATAATTGCTTCTTATCTGTACATTGGTATAATGACTTTATAAATTGCTTTTAATGTGAATAAATGGTCCAGAGAGAAAGGGACCTCAAAAATCTGCAGTCTCCTTTGCATGCTTGTTTCTGGAGCAGTTCAAATTTGGTCTGCGCGCAAACCTTTTCACTCTCACATTTACGTAGCGTCCCGATCTTGTAATAACCATACCAAAATGAAGATATATTTCGCTCAACAATAAGACTGTTCCCTGTGCAAATGAATCGAAGAGCAAGTCGTTGAACACCATCTTAGACAAAGATGATGTAGTCTAATAAGCATCAGAATTTGACTGAGTAACTTCTGAAACTTCTCGTGTCCTTGTTGATAGCCATTTTCCCCATTCCGACCTCCATTGCCTCCGTTTCTTCATTCTGTTTCTTGGTTTGGACAGAGTTTACAGTATCAATAGCTTTAGATTGTGTATCGGGCAAGGAAGGTTCTAACAGGCGTGGACCAGCGTTGATCCACGGATGAAGAAGGCACTGAGCTGCAGTAGGCCGTTTCTCTGGGACAAAATCAAGTATCGGGACCAGGAAATCGGCCATGTCCTTTGCGTCTTGCTCACTGAATTCATACTTCTCTATTAAAACTTTTTTTAAGGGCCAAAAGCGCAACCGTCTGATGTGCCTCAAGTCACCATGTCTATTGAACAACTCACGTGAATAGCGACCCCCCAAGGCAATCTGAAATGAAAATAGCATAATTTAAAAAACTACTAAAGGAAAAAACATGATTCAAAAAAGTTTGAAGTGATTACACGAATTTTCTTACTTTCCGTGGCATCATTCCTAGAAGCTCCATCATTAGTGCTAAATGGTCCTGCAAAGAGAAGTAGTATAGGTTTGCTGTGATCACCATTACCGAAAAATTGAGTAATAAATCACCATAAAGATGCAGAAACCACATTCGAATGACTTGCATTTTGCCAACTAATGACAATCCCATATAAGAGTCCTGAAAGATACTGCCGTATGTCTTTTGAAAGGTTTCGATTACCCCTTTAAATTTTATAACCGTAAAAGTTTAGGTTAAAGTATGTTCTGCCTATGTGGCTTCCTAAAGTAAAGCAGGTTCAAAACCTGGATAAAGTAGGAGGGTTGCAGTGAGTTGACGGTTAGTGTTCAAATATTCTCTGATATAGCCGACCCCGTCTAACTTGATTGATAAGTTTAATTTAAATAGAGCAAAAGCTAACTGAAGCAGCAAATGAAAACAACTTTATTTACCAAATTCATGTTTCCTGTTTGATAAGTACCAAGTATTTTCAATATCAGCCCAGATGCACAACCAAATTGTGCTTTGTTGCATCATTTGCACTGAAAAACCTGAGTTTTCCTCCGGAAACCAGAATAGAAAAGGCAACTATACTCTCTAAACTACATAGTTACATTGTCAAGTCTGTTATCAAAATATGTTGTTTCATCTCCATGTTTCTTAAGTTCCATTATGACTTAATTCCAACCATCGCAGTTGGTGGCAACCACCAGTTTTCTAGCCCTTTATTCATCGACCAAAGAGGACACAAGAAATTCCTCAAGATATGTAATTTCTCTCTAGCATGCCCGTAAGTTGAATCCAGTGTGTTAGTTGAAATTAACAGGGTTCACTTAGCAGAAAAGAAATAAAAGGCCTGATTACCAAGAGCGGATGAACTAACATGGTGATCCATGTTTTACGAAAAATAGAACAAAAACACCGTAAGAGAAAAGATATGTTACGCAGTACGGAAGAAAAGTAAAACGATAACTTGGATATGATGCCCAGGACAGGACACCATGTACTTTTTGTCCTCTAGATTTTACATCTAAATGCAGTAATAGGAATAGCAAAAACCATAATTTCAGTATATCTTCCTCTTTTTTGGTCAATTTATTCACATAAACCGTTTATCACCTAATGGCAAAAATAGTTGACCAACCAAAACTAAAGCACCAGATGAGCTGATAAACGCAGATGGTCAGAATATCAACAAGAGACGTTTGATTGAACTTGATGTCAATCTGTAAGGAAAGAGCGGACGAAAAGGAGTGTTAAACAATTTCACTCGATGAGACCAACAAGGAATGGAAAAAACTGTCCCTAGGTTAACCCTGTACTTGTAAGCTACAGTATGATATAGGCTACAAGTGGTATTATGATGTCCAGGATGACCAGAAGATTATACTCTTCCAGGGACTGAACTATCTCTCCGACTCGTCCCCCCACTTTCACAAATTCAGCAATCAAGAGAAAGAGCTATTGATGATCTCTGTTCTAATACTAATAGCCTTACCAGTTGCCATTAGAATCCTTAAAGCTTATTGTTTTTCCTATAACTTCTAGTCGTGAAACTGCAGAGGTTGAGCTGACTTGTATACAAGTTTGAACCTTTTTTGACAATAATGAAGCAATCACACATAACCTAGAGAAATGCATCATCAACTACAAATCATTTCAAGTATGATGTACGGGGCTTGTTTCTTAAAGCACATGCACTAGTTAGGCAGATGCACTGGTGTACAGCCAGCTACACTAGTGCACCACCGCTCTACTTACCTTTAACCAAAACACGTCCTTCTACTCAGTTTCACTTATTCCTACTTTGGGTTATCTTTCAACCTTTTCGATAGTGTAATATCATAATCTCATACATTTCTATATTACATGAACAACTGCAGGGAATATTGTAATGCTTTGTCTAGTTAATGTAACATCATGGGCTAAGTTGCTCCGACATGGCAGTTTAGGTGCCGCACCCATGTCGACATGACACTAGTATGGGTGTGGGTGTGAGATCCACACCAAATCTAGTCAATCAAGTCCTCGGAGATACCCAAAGCAGCTCCCCGTGTTGCTGCGCTCCCTGCGGGTAATAGCAAGAGAGTTCCGGGTGTAGCAGGGAAAGAGGTTGTACGTGAAAGACTCTTCAATCGAAAAAAAGACAGTCATGTGCCGTTCCTTGAAGTATTGGCCTCTTAGTTTAAGCTCTTGGATGATATAATCCATCTAATCAAAAGCAAGGAAGGATAGACAGTCCTTAGCATGCCAAGTTTATGTCGAAGGTGCGGCTTAGATTGTTTGGGTACTTTGACTACGACGGAAGGAAAAATTCGAGACGAGATACAATTTGATTCCCGAAATCAGAACCAAAACTAGGGTAAACTTGAAAAAAATAGCATATCTTATATAGGAAATCAATCTTTTACTTATCTACAACTTGAGAATAAAAAAGAAATCCACACTTTACAAGCTATACGTAAGTATTCCACAAAATTCTCATAGAGATATTTTATATTTTTATTTTTTAGTAGTCCACACAATTTCTCATAATTTAGAGATATTTTCATTTTTTTTTGAATTATTTTTAGTCGGATCCCCGCACCCGTATCCGTACTAGGATCTGTATCCCCGAATCTTAGAATTTACATTTCGAAGGATCCGACCTCTAGATCCATACCCGTGTCGGACACCCGCACCTGTGTCCGAGCAACTTAGATCATAGGAGAATTCCACACCCGCAAAACACAAGCGATATGTTGGGCATATAAGGAAGCAAGCCTTAGACCCTAACGATGCTTCAAAATCGTCCTGGTCTAGGCTAAACACGGACCATAGCGCTAGTGAGCTAGGCTGCTACATATGGTATCAAAGCCACTCTACGTGCAACTTTGGGCAATGTTGGGGCAAACCTCGACATTCAATTGAGTTTAGGCAAATCCCACATCTTTGAGATAATGGTGGGGCAAACTTCAGAGTTAGGATGTTGAGTTCCTAAAGAGGGGTTTTATATAACATGTAAGGCAAATCCCACATCAGCAAAACACAAGAGATGTTGGATATATAAGGAAGCAAGCCTTAAACCCTAATGACGCGTTTAAAAATTGTGTGGGCCTAAGACCCAAAGCGGACAGTACCACTAGTGGGTAGAGGGTTGTTATAGTGAAACAATTGTATTTCCCTTATCCGTTCAAATTTGATGTTGGTTATTTCAATGCCTAGGAAAGACCCCAAAGGAACTTTTCAAGTCTTGTTTCGACGCTTCAATTTTATTCAGCAATTTGAAGTGACTTAGTTTGTAGTTAGTGTATATATATGTGTGTGTGTGTGTGTGTGTGTGTATCTTGTGGTTGATTGGATTATCCGAGTAAAATTGGGACACTAAAACATCTCTTTACTCACTTCCATGTCCAAGGTATGTGTTGGATCAATTACTCTTGGCATTGAGGTGGCCTAATCCTACTAAGGTGTGAGTATCTCACAAAAAAATACGCTTAAGATATCTTAGAGATACCAATACACTGGCTATTGATCATTAACACACTTGTGGACCCAAAAAAGGAACCTTTGGCAAATGAAGTCCACTATGAAGGACTGGTCGATTAGTTGAATAATATTACCACCAAAGCACCCTGACATTTCCCTTTCTGTTAGTATGATCAGTCAATTGTAACAGAATCTTTAGGTCATTGAGATGCAACTTATAAAGTATATTAGTACTGTTAGTCAGGGACTCAGTATACGAAAACCAAAATTATCGGGTATACTGACGCAGACTAGGCTATGACTTCATCTTATAGTAGTCAAAGTCAAGATACGTGGACTAGTTAGTGAAAATTTGAGCAATTGAAAAACAAAGAAGCATACAGTAAGTGGCAAGTCAAGTGCAAAAAACTGAATATACAGCTATGGCTTTGGCAATATGTGAGCTTATGTGATTGAAGCAATTGCTTGAAGAACTGAAGGTCAGAAAGGTAACAAAAATGAGATTAAGCTTCCAACCCAGTATTATAGAAGACGACGACATGTTGGATTGATTGTCCCTATATTTGTGAGAAATACAACAGACTTACTTCTACTACATTTATTAGCTTAAATGATACACTAGCAAACACGTTTGCCAAAATACTTTAATAATCAAGTTTATGCATGACAATCTAGGAGAATAAGACCTATTCACTCCATCTTGAAAAGGATTGTCAGAATTTATCCAAATTTATTATAGATATAACTCTCTGCGGTCAAAGAATTGAGTATACAGGTGGAAAGCTCGAAGTGGATGATCTATTTGCTCCTACTTAAGGAGCATTAGAATGTATCCGAGTTCATTGTATATACCTTGTTAAAAATTGCATAGAGATTTTTAATAATCATGCCATAATTAAGAATTCCAATAACCAAGAAACTTCCCTTATTTCATGTTAACCTAATCTCTTATCATAAAGAACCCTATTGTTTGTTGTTCATCACTAATTCAAAAGGAGTTATTTCTCTTCATTTCCCTTTTTGTACAACAAGAGCCCCTCTAACGAGTATTTGCATATTTATCCAATGTTTTTCAGAAAGGCTTTTGACTTGCCATCTACAACTAATTGTTTCTAATTAAACATAAAGTTCTTAGAAAGATTATTGCACTCTCTTATTAATTCGAAATCTAAACATTGCTACTCCTACTATATTTTTTATGAACACTTTTATCAGATTTAAATTAGGATGCTATGAGTTTCATAAGAATAAATTAGCACATTAAGACTTGCATAAGTCAATGCTTTTATGTAAAAAAATGAAATTGAAGTTAAAGGAATTTGAAAGTCTTGAGAAAAGGGAAGAATAGACACTTGTCATAATTTTAGACTATGTTATATAACCTTATATATGAGATAACATAAATTAACTCAAAAAAGACACATCAAACTATATGAGTAATCTTGTTCAAGTCCAATCATCTCACATCATCAAGTTATCTCCAGTCCAGTCATAATCCTTATACGGAAAATAAAAAGTTATATTGACAAAGTAAAGAAAACAAAAACTATGTTAATTATCTTCAGCCATGCCAATATAATTCCATAGTTAGTACAGAAAGAACGTCGTAGACTTAGTGAGTCCTATGCTCATCCAAACCGCAACTTAATGCACTTACGGCGTCTTAAAGAGAAATGGTCCATATCAAAGTCAACACAAAGTTCTCTCTCAAAATATGGAAATAAAGTCAGAAGAAGAACATAATATACACCAGAAAATAAGTAGTAAGTGGAGGAACGCATACATACCTCATCTCTGTCAAAGTTGTCACCACTGTGAGGATCAAATAGAACGTCACCAGTTGCAAGCTCAAAACAAATGCAAGCGAAGGACCAAAGATCTGCTGAGGTTGAATATTTAGATCCGAGGATAACTTCAGGACACCTGTACTGTCTAGTTTGAATATCATTTGTAAACTGTTTGTATGTCCAACAAGCATTCCCAAAGTCAACCACTTTGCACTTCAGGTCAACACCCTCTAACAGCTTCGTCCTTGTCGAATGGCTTCCTCTCTTAGGACCCTCGCATTCTTTCCCACAGCCTGTTGCAGCATCAGCATGTGACAATCTATTAACATTAAAAGAAGAATCAAGCTGATCATTCACATAACATTGAGCTGCTTGTTTGGCCTTTCTTCTAATCTTCTTATTATGGTTCTTAGTCAAATTTCCGTTTGAGGTTATATAACCGTTTAGAGCCCCAGACTCGAGCGTGGTCTTATCCTTGTGATTAGGAAGTATAAGAGGTTTTCCAGATTTTCTGGGATCCTTAGATGGGTCAATTGTGGAACAGAGCAGTACATTCTCTGGTTTCAAATCGGTGTGTATGATAGAAAGCTGTCGATGCAAATAATCCAATCCCACTAGAACGTGATAACAGAGCTCTTTAACCATATGAATAGGCAGTCCATGATAATCAGTATACTTGAGAAGCGTCAAGAGATTGTCGCCCAAATACTCAAAAACCATACACACATGTTGTCCATTTGGACCTGAGTGCTTAAAATGATCCAATAGCTTCACGACACATTTTTTATCATCCGGATCGCATTCCGCAATCTGCTTTAGAATAGTGATCTCGTCCATTGCTGCCTCCGTGTAATGTTGTGCACTCTTTTGTACTTTCAATGCTACAAATTGCTGCATAATTAACAAAAATATAAACACCAAATTCTTACTTCCCATGAGAGTAACAAATTAAAATTGCTACCAATACAAAATTGCTAAACTAAGTTCCTATTCAGAAGGAATTACTGAAGTTTAAGCCGGCTCCATGCTTATGCAGCACAATTAATTAAACTAGGCCAAAAAATTATATGCCAGACCACTTAGAAGAGCTATAATATAAAATATCAATTAAAAGCAATTAACTGCTAAAAGTTTGATAAGCAACCTAAAGATTCAGCCTTTTTTCCTATTATATATAGCACTTCCAAAGGAGAGCTTTGGCGCAACGGTAAGAGTTGTCGTCGTGTGACCGGGAGGTCACAGGTACAAATCGTGGAAATAGCTTCTTCCAAAAATTCAAGGTAAGGTTGCATACAATTGACCCAATATGGTCCGGCCCTTCCCGAATCCCGCACACATCGAGAGCTTAGTGCATCTGGATGCCCTTTTATATATAGCACTTTAACATCAAAATTACAACATATCCCTCAATCCCAAACTAGTTTGCAGTTGGTTATGAACCCAAAATTTAAATTCCATCCCATTTGGATAGGACACTAAGCTCACAAGAGTCATAAACACCAAAATAAAGCTAGACAATCCAAACGATAGAGTTAAGAGCCATAGATAAAGAGGAAAATGCAATTATTGATCACCCACAATCCTAGAACTAATAGATTATGACAATTCCAAGAAAAGGGGTTGCTCTAACTAGGCTAAAGATGAACGATTTAAGTTATATACACTGACAATCATGAACTTTAACATGTTTTCGAATGTCAGTTACCATTTTTCTCAGATTACTAATTACTCACTCCATTCCAATTTACATGATACTCTTTCCTTTTTATTCCGCCCCAAAAAAAGGTCACCTTTATATATTTAGTAACAATTAACTTTAAAATGTTTATTTTACCTTAATGAGATAATCTATAGCGAGGTCTACCAGAGCCGCCTCTCTACCTTCACTAGGTAGGGTAAGGTGTCCGCACACACTACCCTTCCCATACCCCAGTTGTGGATTTCACCGGATTCGTTGTTGTTGTTGGTGGTGAGATGATCTATTGCGACACAAATATATATAGTCTATTTTAGACTACAAGTTTCAAAAGTTTAACTTTTTTTTTTAACTCGGTGCTGAGTCAAACATGGAACCGAATGAGTAATATTTTGTCAAACAACTTAATTGTAATTACCTAAGTGATATGATTATCTAACTACTACCGTCATCACATAGAACTTAAGCTCAAGATAAATAGAAAAGCAAAGGGTGATGAGAAAACGTACGGACATGAGAGAATCCCAAGCCAACCAAACGGTAGAAAAGTGACCCCAACCAAGTTTCCTCTGAACAACATACCGACCTCCTTTGAAACTATCTCCTATTCGAACCGCATGGTACCCTCCCCTCCTGTAATCATCAGTCCCTTCATCCTCCGAAGTACAATCATCACTGCTCTCCTCCACTTCCTCCTCCTCCGCCACCAACGCCGCCGCGTTCAGCCGCTGATCTTGATTACTCTCCTCCATTTTCCAATCAAATACAGTAAATCAATCAACTCCCTAGATAAAAGGGACTACTATTTGGGTATTTCCCAAAACTTTTATCTGCTCTTGGTTTGTGAGCTAACTTTGTGTGCATATAAAAAAACTGATTATTTTCTATTTAAAATCTTGGGATTTTCTCAGTTGCATGTGCATATGTACAGGAAAATGGGCGTTTGTGATTGTGAGTGAAGGGTGTAGAAATCTATGGGGAAAGGAAAGAGATGATAGAGATGACGACAGAGGAAGCAGGTAAAACTGTCTCACCTCTTCACTCCTTTGAACTCTTCTAATTCCAAACGTTTGCATATGGACTTACTCCACATGTAATACCACTAAACTATTCACTGATTATTAGTAGTAGTATTTTATTTTGTGTAAATTGCAGTAAATTATCATGTAATAAAAAAGGTTGAGAAAGAGTTTTTTATTTTTACAAATGATCTAACTATATAAATATTTTTTACTCCATCAATATATACAACTTAAACTCAGTCAGAATACATTTTTTATTTAAACAAGATGTGATGATTTTTATTTATAGCATGTTTGGTCGTGCCTGTAAAATAACTTATTTTGAAAAATATTTTTTTCAAAAGTAATTTTCAAAAAAATACTTATGGTGAGAACTGGGAAGCAATTTGTGTTTGGCTAATCAATTTGAAAAACACTTTTGAGCAACAATTATTGTTTGGCCAAAATAGTTGTCTAGCTAATTGCTTAAACAAAAAATAATTGGCGAATATATAATATATGTATAATTTATGTATATGTATATGTTTAATCAGTATACAATCTCTGTATATCAGCTAAAAAAAAAATTAATGAATCCGACCGGCTATTTGTGTAATAATTCCTTAGTTCTTCTTTTTGTTATTGGGCATGGGATAATTGAATAGCTTACCTTCTGAGATTTTACGTACACAAGCCCATATAGAGGTCCACATCAATTGGGCCGAATGGTAGAATCTGACATTCTTTTGGGCCTATAAAAACCTAACCACAAATTCCAATATAAAGATACTCTCACTAGGGTTTTTCCTTCTTCATTGAGGTGCCGCACCTGAGGGAGGGAGCTCGCAACAGCATCAACAATGGTTCTCAAGTAAGTCCTCAACCCTTAATTTCTCTCTATCTCTCTTTGCATATTATGTACAACCAAATGTTAATTTGAACTTTGGCTATGTAGGAAATGGTTAAAAATCAAATCTTTACTGTTTTTGCATTTCTTTTGCAAGATGTATGTTAATGTGTAATGTAGATTGAAAAACAAAATCTGTTATTAAAATCCCTTTATTCGTAGAATGTTACTGAACCTCTTATTTGATAACTATATTGCATAAATTTAATCAGAAGTGTCCCAACATTAATCCTTTTTTTTGCTGCTGATTTTAATTCTGTCTCTGTGGGAAATGCTAAAATATCAGACCTTTACTGTTTTGGCATTCTTTTTGCTAGATGTATGTTCATGTGTAATGTGGATTGAAGTCTATTTTAGGGGGGGGGGGGGAAACTGTCTTGAAAACCCTTTACTGGTAAAATCTTGTTACACTCATATATGATCTTGTGTTTTGTTATTTGGGTTTTAATTATTTCTATGATTGATTAGTATGACAGAAGAGAAAATGTGTGAAAAGAGGAGCACATTGAGAGGTGTTACTGAATATACAACAGATACACCCATTTAGTGCAAAATATTTTGGATCTTGTTTCTCTGAATGTGGTGTTTAAGCCAGCTTAAATGGTTAATTTGATTAACCATTAAATTAAATGTGATATTACCAAGAGTTTGGATACTTTAGGAGGTTGCCTGGAGTTTAGTATGACCTCTCGTTGTATTTTATTGAATGAAGATGTTATGAGAAGGGCGTGTTTTCTGTTTACTTATGTTTGCCTGTAGTATTATCCCTGGAAATTGCGCTATGTTGTGATGATACCGAATTGGTGCAACTGATTCAAGGTGACATTGTGTCTGGAAAATAGACATCACTTTTGATAAATTTTGCTAATTGTGTAGGCATGGATGATTTGTGAACTGTTTTGCAGGGAGTTATTTGTTTGGCTGATTTTGGAATGTTTCAACTTGACTATCTCATCAAATGGCTTTATAATAACAGAATGTGATTGGCATTTGGCTCTATTAGTGGAGATTGTGGAGTTACCTCCTCTTTGTTACTCCCTCCGTTCCAATTTATGTAAGGGTGTTTGACAGGGCATGGACTTTAAGAAATAAAGAAAGACTTTTGCTTGTTGTCTAAAACAAACCATAGAACTTTGTGTGGGTAGAAATCATTTTATTAAGGATAAAAGGGGAAATTAATAGTTGAATTGTTATTAAATAGTACTATATAAAACAGTGTTGTCAAAGGCTCATTTAAGGCACGCTTAAGCCCTAAAGCTCATAAAGCTCAGGGAGGGCGCTTCGCCTCACTTAAGCTGCGCTTTAGTGTAGATAAGGCACCAAGACGTGCCCCTTATTGCCCATGAATCCTATTTTGAATGGAGCAATGCTAGACTACAAATATAATCGGCAAATAAGTGTATTAGTTGTTAAGGAAAACAATATGAATGAATTTGTTACTTTTCTCTTGAATTTCATATATATTTTTATTTTTTTCTTGCATTGCGCCTCTTTTAACTAAAGCCCACACTTAAATTGCGCTTTGCGCTTAATGCACCAATTGACCTAGAGCTCTTTTTAGAGCTTTTCGCCTTTGACAACACTGATATAAAATTGTCATTCTTCTTGGGACTGATTAAAAAGGAAAGAGTGTCACATAAATTGGGACAGAGGGAGTATGTTAATGCTGACATGCTATACATTTTGTTTTGCCTCGGTTACTTTTAGGCTATAGCACTTGAAATTGAGTACTCATTAGCTTTTTTCGTACTTCCATTGCAGGACGGAACTCTGTCGTTTCAGCGGTGGCAAGATATACCCGGGGAGGGGCATCAGATTTATTCGTTCAGATTCTCAGGTAACATACTAAAAGCCATATCCTGGCTGATTGTAATTTAAGTTATTTGTGTACTTATTGATCGGACGGCGCAGAGTCATGCTTTCTTGTCCATTGTCACCTAGTATTTTCTGGTCGCCGTAGGTGTTCCTGTTTCTTAACTCAAAATGCAAGAGATACTTCCACAACCGCCTGAAGCCTTCCAAGCTTACATGGACAGCCATGTACAGGAAGCAGCACAAGAAGGTGAGTCTGGAATAAAGCATCAACAAGCTAAATTTCTGAACTTAACATTCTGTTTTTTGCCTTAAAGTTTATCACTAACGTTCCAATATTGAAGGATAAACCTTTGTGATGTAAAGTTGTACCCTTGGATGCACTTTGTCTTCAGATTACGAAGTGTTTATTTAGAAAACTTGGATTTAGAGATGAAATGCCATTTCATGGGTACTTTTGCCAAGTTAAATTTGTGGTTTTTGGGATAATTACATTTTTGGCCGCCCAAAAAAAATAATAGCCGACAAATGTATATGTTTTGTATTTTAAGTATAAATATACATAAACATCATTTGTATATTTGGGCTACCGCCTGCAATTATTTTGGGCTGCTGGGCCAAAAATAAAAAAAATCCCTTATTATTTTCTGTATTTGATAACATTAGGATATTGCACAAGAAGCTGTCAAGAAGAGGAGACGCGCCACAAAAAAGCCTTACTCTAGGTCCATTGTGGGTGCAACCTTGGAGGTAATCCAGAAGAAGAGAACTGAAAGGCCAGAAGTTCGAGATGCTGCTAGGGAGGCTGCTCTTCGGTATGTATTCATGGATTTCATGCATTTACTATAAAGGTGACTGACTATATAAGTTGTATTTGTCGAAGATGGAGTGATTAATTTGTTGGTTGGGTTTCTACAGTGAAATCAAGGAAAGAATCAAGAAGACAAAGGATGAAAAGAAGGCTAAGAAAGCAGAGGTGATGGCAAAGTCACAGAAAGGTGGAGGGAAGGGTAATGTGTCAAAGGGAGCTGCAGGAAAAGGCCCTAAGCTTGGCGGCGGCGGTGGAAAACGCTAAGCCATTGTTTATGTTTGTTTTTCTAAGTAGTACTAGAGTGGTTTTTGCATCTTGATTGAATGTAAGTTTTTGATCCAACTGCAGACCAGCAGTTGAAACAATATATTTCTTGTTTTGTTTCAAATATGCCAGATTAAATACTCTTGTTCCATTATGAGAATTATTTTCCTTGCACCTTAGCTATCCCCAATCAAGTCTTCACTATATTTTACACTTAAAAATTCACAACATCATAAAACTTGATATTGCATTGCAGCTGTACCAGCTAGAAAATCAAGTTATGTCCTTGCAGTTAGTTTTATGAGCAGTGCAATTTAGATCGATTTAAACCAATTTGTACAGAGATTTATACTATAGTGTTTAGATTTGAAAGCAGGATGCTGAAGTATATTTAGCAATATAATGAGACTTTTTTTTCTGAAGATGTGTTTGGCTAAGCTTATAAGCTGGTCAAACTGGCTTATAAGTACATTTTGGCTTATCTACGCGTTTGTTTAACACTCAAAGTGCTTATAAGCCAAGTGCTTATAAGCTAAAATCAGTCATAAGTCATAAGCTGGTCAGCTCCAACTTATGGCTTTTCAGCTTATAAGCACTTTTAGTTTGACCAACACTTTTACTAGTTTATCCTTAATAATATTTTCTAATTCACAAAATACTTGTTCCAAAATAAATTTCTTGACTTTCTCTTCATTCCATATTCGTTATTAATTCTTTTCTTTACAAAGAAATTTATAATTTATAATTTTTTGAAAAACATTCAAGGGTATTTTAGTCATTTTAACAAAAATAGCTTATCAGCACTTTTTAATCAAACACATCAACTGCTTATTATCAATTTCAGCACTTCTATCCAAACACGTAAATACTTATTTTAAAAATCAGTTTCAGCAGTTAAAAAAAAATTCAGCACTACAAGCTTATCAACTATTTACAATCAGCTAATCCAAACGGGCTCTATGTATCACTCAAATACTCTGTTACGCAAAATGACCCATCAAACTACTGAGTCAAAACGGATCAACTAGTATAACCCAATTAGTCAAAATGCAACCCAAAGTAAACATAAGATATCAAATTTGGAGATTGACGATTATGCAAATAATTGAAGAAAAATACAAGCTTTCACATTCTATTCTTTTTTTTTTCTTGCAAAAAGCAAATTGAAAAGGAGGGAAAGTTAGCTCATCTTTGGTTGGGACGTGTTAATTGATTTGACCTGTTTAGCCATGACCATTTTAAAAAATAAAAAGAAGGAAAAAGAGGAAAGGGGACAATCTTGTCCGGTTGTCCCATTTTGCTCTTGTTTCTTTTGCCGTGGTCGTATACACTCAATTAGAAAGCATGAAAAGTTATGTCGATTGTTATTTTTGGGAACGACTAAGTACATATATATATTTTTAAAATAATTTCTTTTCATATCTCCTTTTTTATATTTACTAGTATTAGTACCTGCGTGGATACGGGGCACTAACCATGTCAAATATTTGAGTTATTTTATTATATATAAATAATCTTAAAATTTAAACTTTTTCGATAAATATAGATAATTATTGGATATTAATTAAGAAACACTGCATGAAAATGATTAACCATTTCTCAAACCTTATAGTTATAATTCTATTTTTCTTTTTTGATACCATTCTCGTTGGTGTCATTGGATCCTAAAAATAGTCAGAAATCAGAAAAATAACTCATATTTATGTCAAAACAATCAAAAGTTGAGACTATGAAAGACTCCTTTGATACGACTTGACCCTTTTACTACTACTTGAACTCTTATTTGGTGCGTTGATATCTTTCAAAAAATATTTCTATTTTAAAATTTCAGTTTCTAAAACTTTATTTTTCAATAATAATTATTT